CCTCCAGGGATGAAATATTTGAATGACCAAAGGAGCCAGTCATGCCAGGATTTTGGAGGAGTGCACCCAGGCAGAGGGTGCAGAAAGGGCAAACGCTCCCTGGAAAGATTCTTAGTCCAGAGTCCTTCACTCCCAGTCCTACCACGAACTGGGTCACCTTGAACAAGTCACGTAACTTCTGAGGCTCAGATGCCACATCTACAAAATGGGAATAAAGACATCTTACCTGCCACATTGTGAGAGGATTCAATCAAAGGGCTGTTAAGGTCTGGGATCCTCCCCAAATCTTGCCATAGACACCTGATACTCGTCATTTGGCACCCATCTTGGAAGAGGGGAACCTGCACAGAGAACCCCGGTCATGCTTTTTATTTTCAATTTCATGTTGCACTAGAAATAGCTTCTTTTGTTCCTGGTTGACCCAGTAACCTCTTCCTGCCACCTGGGGCCTATTCTAATTAATAGCTGCTTATCCCCTCAGGTACAAAAGCCAACAAGGAAAGGACATCAGGAAACATTGTTCTGGTAATAACCAGACACCTATCTACCACCATCTCCCCCCATCCTGCGACCACACACGGGGGACTGGAGGACTCAGCCCGTCCTCTAGTCAGATAATGTACATGCTTTATTTAAAGAGTCAAAAGGGGCCGGGCACAGTCGTTAACGCCTGTAATCCCAGCACTTTGGGAGCCGAGGTCGGTGGATCACTTGAGCTCAGGTGTTCCAGACCAGCCTGGCCAACATGGTGAAACCCTGTCTCTACTAAAAATACAAAAAATAGCCAGGTGTGGTGGTGGGCGCCTGTAATCCCAGCTACTTGGGAGGCTGAGGCAGGAGAATTGGCTTGAACCTGGGAAGTGGAGGTTGCAGTGAGCTGAGATTGCACGATTGTACTCCAGCCTGGGCAACAAGAACGAAAACTCCATCTCAAAAAAAAAAAAAAAAAAAAGAGTCGAAAAGATCTTGGTCCCTGGGTTGGGCCACTGATTTACCATCACCAGGAGTTCTCACTCCTAAATTTCTTTGATCTGTTCTCTTCACTGCATCTCCACAGCGGCTGCACTGGCTACGGCCTCATTATCTCACATCTTAACTCTCTCTACTCTTTCTCTAGCCCATCTCCCCACTTCCAAACCATTTGTCACGCTGTAACCAGTGCCTAACACACAAAACTAACCATGTCTTTCCCCTGCTTAAAGCCCTTAGCTCCTGTTGCTCAGTGGAACTGGCATCTGAGGCTACCTCTCCAAGCCTAAGCGCCTAAAGTCCTGTTGGAATCCTTAGGCCCTTCCTCATTATTCACACCAAACTCCTCCGTGTCTGTAAAACGACCCGAACAACCCTCAGAATTATATGCCTTCGCTGCTCTTTTTTTTTTAGGACAGGGTCTTACTCTGTCACCCAGATAGAAGTGCAGCGGCACGATCTCAGCCGCGGCAGCCTCCGCCTCCGGGGCTCAAGGATTCTCACACCACAGCCTCCTGAGTAGCTGGAATTACAGGCACGGGCCAACATACCCGGCTAATTCTTGTATTTTTAGTAGAGACGGGGTTTCGCCACGTTGCCCAGCCTGGTCTCCAACTCCTGAGCTCAAGTGATCCACCTGCCTCGGCCTCTCAAAGTGCTAGGATTATAGGCCTGAGCCACTGCGCCCAGCCAGCCTTTGCTGCTTTTGTTCCTGCAATTTGGAACACTGTCCCCATCCCAGCCTCTCACCTCTACCCCTACCTCCTTCACTACCTACACCTTCCTAGCCATCCTTCAAGACCCCAAAAGCCATCCCTGATTCCTTCAGAAAAGCACTGTTTATTGCCTACCTTATCAGATTGAAAGCAGTGGCTGTGTCTTATTCATGGTTAATTCCCTAGAAGCTGGGCTGATACATTCCATTTAACTAAAATTCTTATCAGGTGCTTCGGACTGCAGACAAGCCTATCACAACCCAGAAGGAAGAAACAGGGAAGGCACCTGTGGGCTGCCAAGCAGTGAGGTGGGGGTAGCAGTCATGAATCTGCATATTTTTAAAAGCTGCCCCAGATCTGATGTAAACGGTACTGGAGAGTCTGACAAACACAGGGTTCCCCTCAAACAGTCCTGACTTCAGCATTCCTGGAAAAATGAAAATCCTTTCCTTTTGTCTCTAATGCTTTCCCTGCTGCTATTCCAGGTTAAAAAAATAAATAGATAAAATCAGGGGGATTTTTCTGGGACCCGGCTGCGCTGGGAAACAAGCCTGGGTTCTAATACAGGTTCAGCCCCTGACGTACTACGGGCCCCTGACCCTCCCTGGGGCCTCCATTACCACGGCCACCCCACCCTTATCAACTGTGTGCCCCTGAGGTAGTGAGTGTCCCGCTCTGAGCATTAGTTTCCCCATCTTCCACTGGACGTCGCCAGCTCTGACGCTCTAAGAGCTATGCATACCCGTAGCTCCCCGCCGACCCCGACGGTCCCCTCCCCTCCTTCCCAAGGTCCGTCCGCCAGGGTGCAGCCAACACACTCCTAACGCCAAGGCCGCCCTCTCAACGACTGCCCCTTCCTAGCCGCGACTCAGCGCCAAAGATATGGGTCTCTGTCCCCGCCCTACTCTTTAAGCCGGCCCGGGGGCGGTCCGCGCAAGCGCACTGGGCCGCATCGAGGCCCCGCCCCCCGAGCCTGGGTAGCGGTGCGAGTGCCGAGAGAACCGTGCGCTGAGAGAAGGCGAACGAGTAGGTTGGCGCGGCCACGGCGGCCGGCACGGGTCACGTTTCCTCGGGGGGGACGATGTGAGGGAGGGGTCTGGCGAGGGATTGAACTCCGGAGGCCGGGAGATCTTGTAGCTGAAACCCTTTGCATGCGCGGGGAAACTAGTGTCTCTTGAGGGGGTTGGGCTGGCGCGCGTTGATCCCAGACTTTCCGGATCTCCTGCCTTTAGATCGGGCCGGTGTCGGGGCCAGTGGGCCAGTGAGACTGGAGCCAGTTAGAACTACAACGGGGAGCGATTAGGGACAAACTTTGTCCAGGGTGAAAGCGAGCGGGCCCGTGTAGTGGGGCCAGCCTGGGCAGCCGACCGTGTCGTTGCCTCGGGGCCTTTCTAGGCTCTGGTCTAGTCCTGGGGATAAAGTCCGACCCATTTCCTTGTGGGCGTTTTGAGGCTTTCGGTGATCTGGCCCGTCTGTCGTTCTTTCTTCATTCATTCATGTAATGAATGAATACAGTACTAAGCGCGGCTAACACTAGATAGAGAAGTGATCAAGACAAACACTGTTCCCGCGGTGCCGGGAAAAGTGATGGGCTGTAGAATGTAGACGCCCAGGGCGGAGAACAGGGACGGCTTCTGGAACTAAATCGCGAACTCTGATCAGAAGTGGTGGGGAGAGTTCCAAAGAGAAGACAGCACGTGCCCTCCTAAATTTCTTTGATCTGTTCTCTTCACTGCATCTCCACAGCGGCTGCACTGGCTACGGCCTCATTATCTCACATCTTAACTCTCTCTACTCTTTCTCTAGCCCATCTCCCCACTTCCAAACCATTTGTCACGCTGTAACCAGTGCCTAACACACAAAACTAACCATGTCTTTCCCCTGCTTAAAGCCCTTAGCTCCTGTTGCTCAGTGGAACTGGCATCTGAGGCTACCTCTCCAAGCCTAAGCGCCTAAAGTCCTGTTGGAATCCTTAGGCCCTTCCTCATTATTCACACCAAACTCCTCCGTGTCTGTAAAACGACCCGAACAACCCTCAGAATTATATGCCTTCGCTGCTCTTTTTTTTTTAGGACAGGGTCTTACTCTGTCACCCAGATAGAAGTGCAGCGGCACGATCTCAGCCGCGGCAGCCTCCGCCTCCGGGGCTCAAGGATTCTCACACCACAGCCTCCTGAGTAGCTGGAATTACAGGCACGGGCCAACATACCCGGCTAATTCTTGTATTTTTAGTAGAGACGGGGTTTCGCCACGTTGCCCAGCCTGGTCTCCAACTCCTGAGCTCAAGTGATCCACCTGCCTCGGCCTCTCAAAGTGCTAGGATTATAGGCCTGAGCCACTGCGCCCAGCCAGCCTTTGCTGCTTTTGTTCCTGCAATTTGGAACACTGTCCCCATCCCAGCCTCTCACCTCTACCCCTACCTCCTTCACTACCTACACCTTCCTAGCCATCCTTCAAGACCCCAAAAGCCATCCCTGATTCCTTCAGAAAAGCACTGTTTATTGCCTACCTTATCAGATTGAAAGCAGTGGCTGTGTCTTATTCATGGTTAATTCCCTAGAAGCTGGGCTGATACATTCCATTTAACTAAAATTCTTATCAGGTGCTTCGGACTGCAGACAAGCCTATCACAACCCAGAAGGAAGAAACAGGGAAGGCACCTGTGGGCTGCCAAGCAGTGAGGTGGGGGTAGCAGTCATGAATCTGCATATTTTTAAAAGCTGCCCCAGATCTGATGTAAACGGTACTGGAGAGTCTGACAAACACAGGGTTCCCCTCAAACAGTCCTGACTTCAGCATTCCTGGAAAAATGAAAATCCTTTCCTTTTGTCTCTAATGCTTTCCCTGCTGCTATTCCAGGTTAAAAAAATAAATAGATAAAATCAGGGGGATTTTTCTGGGACCCGGCTGCGCTGGGAAACAAGCCTGGGTTCTAATACAGGTTCAGCCCCTGACGTACTACGGGCCCCTGACCCTCCCTGGGGCCTCCATTACCACGGCCACCCCACCCTTATCAACTGTGTGCCCCTGAGGTAGTGAGTGTCCCGCTCTGAGCATTAGTTTCCCCATCTTCCACTGGACGTCGCCAGCTCTGACGCTCTAAGAGCTATGCATACCCGTAGCTCCCCGCCGACCCCGACGGTCCCCTCCCCTCCTTCCCAAGGTCCGTCCGCCAGGGTGCAGCCAACACACTCCTAACGCCAAGGCCGCCCTCTCAACGACTGCCCCTTCCTAGCCGCGACTCAGCGCCAAAGATATGGGTCTCTGTCCCCGCCCTACTCTTTAAGCCGGCCCGGGGGCGGTCCGCGCAAGCGCACTGGGCCGCATCGAGGCCCCGCCCCCCGAGCCTGGGTAGCGGTGCGAGTGCCGAGAGAACCGTGCGCTGAGAGAAGGCGAACGAGTAGGTTGGCGCGGCCACGGCGGCCGGCACGGGTCACGTTTCCTCGGGGGGGACGATGTGAGGGAGGGGTCTGGCGAGGGATTGAACTCCGGAGGCCGGGAGATCTTGTAGCTGAAACCCTTTGCATGCGCGGGGAAACTAGTGTCTCTTGAGGGGGTTGGGCTGGCGCGCGTTGATCCCAGACTTTCCGGATCTCCTGCCTTTAGATCGGGCCGGTGTCGGGGCCAGTGGGCCAGTGAGACTGGAGCCAGTTAGAACTACAACGGGGAGCGATTAGGGACAAACTTTGTCCAGGGTGAAAGCGAGCGGGCCCGTGTAGTGGGGCCAGCCTGGGCAGCCGACCGTGTCGTTGCCTCGGGGCCTTTCTAGGCTCTGGTCTAGTCCTGGGGATAAAGTCCGACCCATTTCCTTGTGGGCGTTTTGAGGCTTTCGGTGATCTGGCCCGTCTGTCGTTCTTTCTTCATTCATTCATGTAATGAATGAATACAGTACTAAGCGCGGCTAACACTAGATAGAGAAGTGATCAAGACAAACACTGTTCCCGCGGTGCCGGGAAAAGTGATGGGCTGTAGAATGTAGACGCCCAGGGCGGAGAACAGGGACGGCTTCTGGAACTAAATCGCGAACTCTGATCAGAAGTGGTGGGGAGAGTTCCAAAGAGAAGACAGCACGTGCCAAGGCCTGGAAGGCGGACAGAGGCCGACGTATCCTGGTCACCGAAGATACCTCACTCTGAATTTGTTTCGTGCCCAGGGAAGAGATGACAGTGGCCGGGGCTAGGCTACAAACACTGGAAATGGAGTTAAATAACGGAATTCAAAGTACTATATACTTAGGCAGCAAAATCCACAGGATTTGCGGACAGTGAGATGTAGGAAAGAAGTACTCAGGGCTTGGGTACCTGGGTGGGGTTCATCAGAGGAGAAGCAGATTTGTGGGAGACAACAACAAATTCTATTCTGGTTGTGTGGAGACTCGCAGGAAGCAATTGGATATTCTAGTTTGAAGGTAGGAAAGTATTGCTGTGAAGATGTAGATTTGAATGTCATCAGCAAAACAAATAAAGCAAAGGGAGGGTTGAAGCTGTAGAATGAGAAAATAAAGGGCCCACTTAGCACCTTCATCGTGATTTATTTTTTTTCTTTCTTTTTTTTTTCTGGACGGAGTTTTGCTCTTGTTGCCCAGGCTGGAGTGCAATGGCAAGATCTCGGCTCACCGCAACCTCCACCTCCCGGGTTCAAGCTATTCTCCTGCCTTAGCCTCCCGAGTAGCTGGGATTACAGGCATGCGCCACCACGGCGGGCTAATTTTGTATTTTTAGTAGAGATGGGGTTTCTCCATGTTGGTCAGGCTGGTCTTGAACTCCCAACCTCAGGTAATCCGCCTGCCTCAGCCTCCCAAAGTGCTGGGATTACAGATGTGAGCCACCACACCTGGCCCATGGTGATTATTTTTATGTCTTATCCTTCTCCATGTCCCTGGTACCTAGTCAAGGGACTGGCATTAAATGCAAATCAGTGTTTGCCAACTAAATAAAAGCCCAACAGCAAACAGATGTCGGAATTCCAGAATTGTGGAATGATGGGGGCTCATGGAGGGTTTCATTACTCTAATGTCAAAGTAATGGGTTCTTGTCCTGGCTCTGCCACTAGGTTTCTGTGTGACCTCTGACAAGTCTCCTCCTACCTGTAAAGAGAGTATAGTCAAAAAATGGTCTCATGTATAGAGCTGCTTTTGAGAAATTTCACACTGATTTTTCTCTTAATCCACACAGCAGTCTTACTTGAAAGGGAAGTCGGCCAGACGCGGTGGCTCACGCCTGTAATCCCAGCACTTTGGGAGGCCGAGGGCGGGGGTCACGAGATCAGATCGAGACCATCCTGGCTAACACGGTGAAACCCCGTCTCTACTAAAAATACAAAAAATCAGCCGGGCGTGGTGGCGGGCGCCTGTGGTCTCAGCTACTCGGGAGGCTGAGGCAGGAGAATAGTGTGAACCCAGGAGGCGGAGCTTGCAGTGAGCCAAGATCTGCGCCACTGCACCCCAGCCTGGGCGACAGAGCGAGACTCCGCCAAAAAAAAAAAAAGAGAGAGAGAGAAAGAAAGAAGTCATGTTATTATGGGCTCAAACCCAGGTCTGTCTGTCTGTCTGACTTGAGCCTTGGTCGTTACTATGCCTGCCCTCATCTGTGTCTCACTCAGCAGAGATATCAGGACACTCCTGAGGTTACCTGCACATTCTTTCAAAGCATTGTGCTGAGGCCGGCAGACCTTCATAATTGGCCTAGCACTAGCTCTGTCATGGGGACAGGGGATAGAGCTGAATGTGATGGAGGTTTCCTATTATTCTCTTCCTTCCTGGGGACCACTGAGTTGGGCAGCCATGTTCTGTTAAATGACAACAGGGCACAACAAAAGTAATGACGGTGTTTCCAGATTTTTACCCAGATCTTAAACTCCTGAGGCCTGCTGAAAAATGAATGAGTACCAGGGTGTGAGTTTGTACACCTCTGTATGTCTCTGGGCGACCAATCAGACAACTCCTCCTATTACACTGGACACTTGGCTTTCAGCGATTTCCATCTTGCTAATGTGATTTCTCAAAAATATTTTCTGTCTTTTGGTGCTTTGATAATAAATGTCCATACATGGAATGTAATCATTTCCTGCTACTAAGATTCCTTCTGGTTAGTATAAGGGAGGAGTTCACCTTATTTGCATTTCATGATATTCCACGAAGAGCTCCCTCCCCCTTCCCATGTAATTTATTTGAGATCTGCTGACATGAGTTGTTGGAGCTTGAAGGGAATTAATAGTGTACTGCAGTGACTCCTATCCCAGGAAAACTTGTTAAAAATACAAAACCTCGGCTTGGCGTGGTGGCTCACTTCTGTAATCCCAGCACTTTGGGAGGCCGAGGGGTGTGTATCACAAGGTCAGGAGATCAAGACCATCCTGGCTAACACGGTGAAACCCCGTCTCTACTAAAATACAAAACATTAGCCAGGTGTGGTGGCACATGCCTGTAATCTCAGCTACTCGGGGAGGCTGAGGCAGGAGAATCACTTGAACCCAGGAGGCAGAGGTTGCAGTGAGCCAAGAGCAAGCCACTGAACTCCAGCCTGGGCGACTGAGTAAGACTCCATCTCAAAAAAAATAATGATAATGATAATAAAAATAAATACAAAGCCTCAACCCATCCTTCCCTTCAGGCCTCTTGAATCAGAGTCTCTGGGATGGGACCCAGGAATCTGTATTCTTTCCCAAGCTCCCCAGAATGTTCAGCCAGGTTTGGAAACTACTGATCTACCCATTCTTCTTGTTTCACAGTTAGGGAATCTGTAGCTCTGGGAGGGGAAGGAACTTGCCCCAGTCACATCTGATATCAGTGCTTCTTTCTCCAATGAAGAGCATTAGGCTGGGAGTCCAGAGACGGGTTCCAGTCCAGGCTATACCAGTCATCACTTCGGGCAAGTCATTTCACCCCTCCAAGCCTCTGCTTCCTTACTGTGAGAATAATGCCATTGTGTTAGGAATCAAAAGAGAGAGTGGCCATGGAAATGCTTTGTCAGGCTTTCTATTTCATGCACATGGAAGTTGTTAAGAGCTAGAAGCAGCCAGTGTTCATTCCTGTATACCACGCTGTTCCCTTCCAACAGAGGTCAGGGTCCTGCTGTGTTGGGGGTGGCCACCAGCCAGTTTCGGTGGTTGCTGGGCTTCAGGCCATCTGTTGCCAACTCTCTTCTCTCCATCTTTTGCAGGTGTTGGGATGGCCACCAACTGGGGGGGCCTCTTGAAGGATGAACAGCAGCTAGAGGAGCTGGCACGGCAGGCCGTGGACCGCGCCCTGGCTGAGGGAGTGTTGCTGAGGACCTCACAGGAGCCCACTTCCTCGGAGGTAAGCCCCTAGCTCCTCCCCACGGCATTCACCATGGCCCACTGTCTGGCCCCAGCCAGGCTGAGGGTCTTTCCTTTGCATCAGGGACCGTATCTCTTTTGCCTTATTTTTTTCAGTAACTAAAATTGATCTGTAGAAGTAGAAAGTAAAAAAGCAGCATGCTGGAGTAATCAAATTTAAATATGGGGTTTGAAGTGTGACTTAGGCAAATTACTCTCAGCTGCAGTTTCTTCAGGTGTAAAAATGGGATAATAATAGGACCTACCTCACTGGTTTGGTAAGAGAATTAGAGGGTGATTCACGTGAAGCACTTTGCCCAGTGAGCTATTACTGAAGATCCCATAATCACTCTACCTTCTCTGTAACTGGTTTGTGATATATCTTTTCAAGCCTTTCTCTGTGCATTTATATATATAGATATGTATATAGAGAAATATGTCTTTTTTAAAAAACAATTATTTGATAATTATCAAATATTATTTGATATCTATCATAGAATAAATTATATTATCTATGATATATTTTTGGTTTTTTATTTAATAGTCTGTCTTAGAACTTTCTAATGCCTTCCATTAGGGTCAACTTCATTCTGAGGCATAGTATTCCAGATGTGGGTATATCACAGTTTAGCTTCTCTCTACTCATGTCTATTTAGGTGATTTCTCTTTCTCTCGTGATTTTATGACCATAAATAGCATTATAGGGAACATCCATGTGTATGTCTATTGGGGCACCTTTGTGAGTGTTTCTCCAGGGTCAATACGTAAAAGTAGAACTGCTGAGTCCAAACCACACCTTTTTAAAATCTCATCCTTAGAGGGGAAAAAATAAAGCTTTTTTAATTTGGTGACTAGGCAAGACTTTTTCGTGGTTCAAATTCAAAGGGTACAAGAGTTTACCCTAATGCAGCCTGTGTTTTGGTTTCTTGTTGATCTTTTCACATGGCTGATTCATAACAAGTAACTAGTAACAAGTAAATATATTCCTTGGGGCCTTGCTCTGTTGCCCAGGCTGGAGTGTAATGGCACAATCTCGGCTCACTGCAACCTCTGCCTCCTGGGTTCAAGCAATTCTCCCACCTCAGCCTCCCAAGTAGCTGGGACTACAGGCATGTGCCACCATGCCTAATTTTTTTTTTTTTTGTATTTTTGGTAGAGGCGGGGTTTCACCCTGTTGTCCAGGCTGATCTCAAACTCCTGACTTCAACTGATCCACTGGCCTCTGCCCCCACAAAATTGCTGGGATTATAGGTGTGAGCCACCGTGCCCAGCCTCCTTTTGCCCACTTTTAAAAAAAAACTTAACAGTACACCTTAAGATCATATTGGTGACTAAAGAGCTGCCAACATCTTTTCTTTTTTTAATCAGCCCCATTCTTTTTTGTCTCTGTGTGCCCAGAACCTAATACAGAGGCCTGAGTGTATTACTCAGTAATTACGGAGTCCACACTCAGTAATCATTTGCTAAGGCCCAAGTAAATGACAATGTCTGTCACCTAAGGCAGGCTGACGGTATGGAATAGAATTGCTTGGGCTGTGAACCTAGATTTTGTGAATTACTTGTATGAATCTAAGATGAAGCATTTTCCCTTCCAAGCTTTTGTTTCTTCTGCTAATCAATAGGTACCATGTGAAGATTCAGCAGTTGGTCTTTCTGGGAGTTAATGGAGCCTAGAAAAGGCACAATCCACAGTGACATTTGTAATCCAGAAAAAAAGTCAGAAAATGTACGCGCGTGTGTGTGTGTGTGTGTTTGTGTGTGTGTGAGATTTTACTCCAAATCTTTACCAAATGCCTGCTCTATGCTGTGCCATTCTAGGCACTGAGGACAGAGAGGTGAGTCAGCCAGAGTCCTAGCCTCTGGAGCTCCTGGTCTCGTTAGAAAACATACCACAAAACAAAATGAAATAATGTCAGCTCTATGAGGAAACACAGGCAGACTGCTACACAATGTTAACTATCATTTATTGAGTATTTACTATATGCCAGGCATTATTCTAAACACTTTGGAATCACTGACTCCTCACCACAACAGAGGTAAGGAAACCAAACCCCAGAGAGGCTAAGTAACCTACCTGAAGTCATTTAAATGGTAAAATAATTGGCAGAGCCAGGATGTAAACCCAAGGAATTTGGCTCCTGAGTCCATGCTCTGAACATCCATGCTTTTTTTCCTTTCCTGAGATACTGTATAGGACAGCTGGAAAAAAGAGTAATTCATTATGATTAGATGATTGAGTTGAGGGGTGGTATTTGAACTAGACCTTAAAAGACAAACAGGGAAAAGGAACTGCATAGCAAGGACCTAAAAGTAGGAAAAGCCAAAAAAAAAAAAAAAAAGTGTTCAAGAGAATGCAGCTGAAATGCAGGGTGCATAAGTGGATATAGTGAGAAAGAAGGCAGGCCAGCATCAGACAGCCAAGGGGCCTTAGCTACTGGGTGGAGGAGGAGTGTGAACTTTATCCTGCAGATTAGAGCTGCAAACTAGCCATATCCAGCCTGAATATTTGGCTCCTGCAATGTTTGGGGAGTTAATTTGTTTTTTACAATAATTAATACATTCAAATGCATTTGAACAGGGTGCAAAATTCAGAGTAAGTCCCCTTCCTCCAGCCAGTGTTTCCCTGACCAGGGGCATGCATTGTTAACAGTTTTTTTCACCAGAGTATTTTTAAAATGTCAGAGCC